TAATAATAATAATAATAATAATAATAATAATAATAATAATAATAATAGAGAGAGAGAGGGAGTGGGGCAGGTGGACTTCAACACTGCATGCTGGGGAATTTTGGGAGATCGACATGTCTTAGAAGTTGCCAAAGTTCACAACACATTTGTGATTCTAAGCAACTCACAATATACACATACACAAATGTATAAAACTCACAGCAGGAAAAAAAAAGTAGCAAACCCCAATCTTCACTCAATGTAAGGATTGCATTCAAAATAAATAATAAATACACAAGACAACTGGGAACTGTTTTTCAGTGACTGAACAGTACCCTAGGGAAATGCGGTCCCTGGTCCAAGAAATACAGGCAGTGCTCGTTTTCTGACCAAATTGGGATGAGCAACTCGGTCATGAAGTGAAGCGGTTTACAATCATACCACAGCTTTCTATCCTTTGCTAACCAGAACTGCGAAGGTCATAAAGGTGACTATTGATTCACCAAGGTCCTTTTCTCATTACTATTGTAACTATTGTGAATCGTTGCTAAACGGGGCAGTCGTTAAATAAGGACTGCCTGTACTTCCGGCCAGAGGTCTTCATGACAGTTTAAAAGACTTACGAATGATAATGATGAGAAGGACTACCACCACTGTAATCAGGATGGCCCACATCTGCAAAGAAAGAAAAAATAATAATAGAATGAATAGAATAGAATGCAGAATAGAATAGAAAAAGAATAAGAACAGAATAGAATAACAGAGGAATGAAGAATAGAATGCAGGAAGAATAGAGTAGAAATAGGCTAGAAGAGAATGCAGAACTGAACAAACGCAGAATAGTGTAGAATAGACTAGCGTGTGTTGGAAGGGGCCTTTGAAGGTCTTCTAGTCCAGCCCACTTTTCTTCAACTCTAAATAGGGGAGTCCTAGTGCCCCCACTCTTGAAGCAGAGAATCCACAGAACGGACCGTCTTAGCAGGCGGAAGGAAGGGTGGTCCTGCAAGACCTGAACTCTTGACCCCCTCAGAGGCCCTCTTACCTTGCAGTTCTTCCACCAGTATTTCCTCTTCAGCTTGGCCGCGTTCGTCTCAAACTGAGCGGCTCCGGCTTGCAAGGCGTCGGCGCGATCATCTAGCTCGGAGAGCTTCTGATCCCTCTCCAAAACCTTGTCGACGTTCACCCTCATGATATCCACCACCTAGAAGAAAAGGTTCAGAACACGGGACCGTTAAAAGGCTGGAAGGGACCACGGAGGTCCTCCAGACCAACCCCCTTGCACAAGCAGGAGATGGCGTTGGTTTCCCCCCCTTTATCAGCCATACTTCACCCTAAAGCTTTTTGATGGATGGATTGAGGTGGGTCTAGGGTCTTCCTGCTGGAGTACGGGGTTGGACTAGAAGACCTCCAAGGTCCCTTCCAGCTCTATCCTGATTGATTGGTTGGTTGGTTGAAATGGTCTAGGGTCTCCTGCTTGAGCAGGGGGTTGGACTAGAACTCAACTGGTTGGGCCCTTCAACTGATGGACCCTTCAGGAAGACCTCAACTGGTTGGGTCCTTCCAATGATGGGCTCTTCAGGAAATCCTCAACTGGTTGGGTTCTTCAAGAAGCCCTCAACTGGTTGGGTCCTTCTAATGATGGACCCTTCAGGAATCCTCAACTGGTTTGGCCCTCAACTGGTTGGGTCCTTCCAATGATGGGCCCTTCAAGAAGCCCTCACCTGGTTGGGTCCTTCCAATGATGGGCCCTTCAAGAAGCCCTCAACTGGTTGGGTCCTTCCAATGATGGACCCTTCAAGAAGCCCTCACCTGGTTGGGTCCTTCCAATGATGGACCCTTCAAGAAGCCCTCACCTGGTTGGGTCCTTCCAATGATGGACCCTTCAGGAAGGTCATCAACTGGTTGCCATCCTAAGGTGCTGCAGCTTCACCCACCATCCTGGTTCTGAAGAACCTGGCCATACCTACCTCATCAACTTGGTTCTGAGTCTGCTGAAGACGTCGGTTACTGCTGGAGGCAGAGCCGGATACAGGATCCCCAGACCTCCACATTAAAAATAAAAAAAAGACAAGCCAGGTTATTACCAGGCGGCCATTTATAAACACTGGGTAGTTCACCTGGGTTACCGGTATCCATTCACGCACCACCATCAATTAACCTGTGGAACAGCTGGCCACCAGAAGTTGTGGGTGCTCCATCCCTGGAGGTTTTGAAAGAAGAGACTGGACAGACATATTTTGTCTGAGATGCTATAGGATCTCCTGCTGGAGCAGGGGGTTGGACTAGAAGACCTCCAAGGTCCCTTCCAGCTCTATAATGGATGAACTGAAATGGTCTAGGGTCTCATTCTTGAGCAGGGGGTTGGACTAGAAGACCTCCAAGGTCCCCATTCTGACTGAAGCCCAATTCCAGCCCGCAGACAATCCTGGTTCGCCAGGTAAAACCTCCTAGTAGAGCCACCCGCCGGGATCAAACCACCCCGGGGGCTTCGCCCAGCAGACACCCAGAGCCCCTCCAAACCCACCCACCCACCGCCAAAGCGGCTCAGGGCTCTCCGTTCTCTTCCCCGCCTGCCAGGGGAGCCGAAACAGGGGCCGGTTCCTCTGCCAGAGCCGGGTCGGAGCTCCGCCTGTCCCGGAAATGGGCATCGCCCCGAGCGGGTTTTTGTGTGTGTGTGTGTGTGTTTTTCCCCTTTCGCTTTTCTTTGCAACTAGTTGCAACCAAACCCTTTCGGGGTAAAAAACAAATACCAAACCAAAGAACAACGTCGTTGCAACAGATCCGGAGTCAGACCCACTTGGGTAGCAAGTCTTTATTAGCTCCGAATGCAAGGCGAGCCGAGAAAAGGCGACTCCCTAAAAAGTCCCTGTCCCGTCCCGTCCCGTCCCAGCCCCTCGGCCTGCAAGTCTCGGCCTTCTCCTCCGGCCACGGCCCTGCCTAGACTTCTTCCCCACCCCGTCGGCTTCCCTTCTCTACCCCCCCTTCCCCGGAGACCCCCGAAGGGCTTTGGGGGGGGGGGTGTTGTTGGGGAATGGAAGGAAAGGAGACGTGAGGGCGCCGGAGCGGAGCGGCGGGCGCCCGGTTGCAAATGAGAGTTTGCAAAAGCGGCGCCCGAACTTTTTCCCCGCCGCTGGGGAGGGCGGGGAGAAGGGGGGGGGCTTGCAAAATAATATATATATATTTTAAAAAAACAACAACAACCAAGACCCCCGGAGGAAACTCACATGACGGCGGAGGAAGTGGCTTTGAAGCACAAACAGGCGGAGGAAGGAAAAGTCGCAGCTTCAGGGATTTTTTGCGGGGTGCGCCCGGGGCGGTGCCGTTGCAAAACCCCTCCCTCGTGGGGCGGGTTGGGTCAGGTTTTGCGCGGGGGGGGGGGGGGGAAAGACTCCCCGGGGGGGTGTGTGGGTGGGGGGGGGGGGGGGTGGGGGGGGGGGGGGGGGGGAGTGTGTGTGTGTGTGTGTGTGTGTGTGTGTGTGTGTGTGTGTGCGCGCGCGCGCGAGGGGAATCCCTCTGCAAGGGATTTCCCCAAACCCCAAAAACTTTAACCCCAGACTGTCCACTATTGACCTCACCCCTTTCCTAAGTAAGGGACGTGCATAAGGACATCGATGTGCCCACTAGCGTCCCAATGTCCCCTTTTAATTCTTATGCATTTCATGTATTCATAACCATGTTTATACTTATCCCTGTTATCTAACGCTTCCTTGACAAATAAAATAAAAAATAAAAGGAGGAAGGAAAGAAGGAAGGAAGGAGAGAAAAGAATGGAGGGAAGAGAGAAAGGGAGAGAATATCCATTCCCAAGGGGTGTGCATAAGCGCACCAAAGTGCCTACTGGCGTCCCTGTCCTGTTGTTTCTTTTTATTTTTCTTATTCTTATCCATTTCATGTATTCGTAACCATGTTTATACTCATACCTGTTATCTAATAATTGCTTGACAATATAAAATAAAATTAAATAAATAAAAAAAGGAAATCCCGAAAGCAAAAAGTTTTGGCCCTATTATTTCAATGTCACTAAAAGGTGGACCGACTTAACGAACCAATTGCAAAAGGCAAGCAGGTAGAGAAGTAGATGTAGAATAATAAGAGTTGGAAGGGACCTTGGAGGTCATCTAGTCCAACCCGCTGCCCAAGCAGGAGACCCCACACCATTTCTGACAGGTGGCAGTCCAGTCTCTTCTTGAAAGCCTCCAGGGATGACGAAGCTCCCGCAACTTCTGTTCCACGGGTTGATTGTTCTCACTGGCAGAAAATTTCTCCTTATTTCCAGGTTGAATCTCTCCTGGTTCAGTTTCCACCCGTTGTTCCTTGTCTGACCTTCGGGCGCTTTGGAAAATAGCTTGACCCCCCCCTTCTCCTCTCTGGGGCAGCCCCTCAAATCTTGGAAGGCTGCTCTCCTGCCTCCCCTGGTCCTTCTCTTCCCTAGACCAGCCAGGCCCAGTTCCTGCAACCGTTCGTCGTATGTTTTGAGCCTCCAGTCCCGTAAAACCATCCTGGTTCCTCTTCTCTGCCCTCTTTCTAGAGGAAAGACCTTCAAATCTCATTTTAATGTAAGGTTGATTAATGAACATTCGATGTGACAATAAAAGTTGTTCAAAGTTCTGTTGCAACAAGCGGGAAGCAGCTCTAATAGCTTGGCTAGCGTTAGGACTGGTTCTCTCTAAACATCTCCAATCAATATTCCCTACCCTGGCTCGTTCCCCATTATCTGACGCACTATGAGGTTACACACTCTTCTGACCGCCTCCTACGGGTTTCCCAAGATCCTCCCTAAACCTACCACATCACATAGGTGCATTATGGTTAGCAAATTATATACACAAGGTGCATTTTAAGCATGTACTTTTTGCTTCCTACGGTGAACTACTTCTTAGATGAACCACCTATTTTTCGGAATGTTTTGTGCTTGCCACAATTTTTAGGCCACCCTTCATTGGCTCAGTTAGCTATTTGCTCTGGCAGCTCTTTTGCAGATCAAATATTTCTACCGTACCATATCCCCGCTTTGAAGCCCCTTCGGGCGTGGATATGTTACAGTTACTTGGAGTACTTTCCTGTTATACTAATTATTTAAGTCTGTGGTTAAGCGAGCTATTTCTCCTGGCAGTTTTGTACTTTCTGAAGAACCTTCCCTCATGAAGGTCGTAAGTGTGAAAAGTGGTTGTAAGTCACGTTTTTTCAGGGCCCTTGTAACTGCAAACAGTCGTTAAATGGAATGCTATTAGATGATTCCCTTCAATATTGAGCCAGCCGTGTGCGGAGGAGGCCAAAAAAGCCAATGCAATCCTAGGTTGCATTAATTGACAATTAGAATAAGCATCTTGGGAAGCTTTACAAGGCCTTAGTAAGGTCATGCCCGGAACACCGTGACCAGTTTTGGTCACCACATATTACAAAACAAGAGATTGAGACTTTGGGGAAAAATGCAGAGAAGAGCAATTAGGATGATGAAAGACCTGGAGACGAAAACATACAAAGAACAGTTGCAGAATCTGGGTTTTCTCTGGCAGTCTGCAATTTTTCCTGAATTGCCAGATTAATTCCTTGTGGGATAAATTTTCCCAGGATGAAGGGGTACGTTGGACAAGGGCTCAAATGAAGCAACTCAGCAGCAGAAATATACAGACATACAGACAGACATACACATGCATTCCATACTAGTGGTGCGATTCCAGTTTTTCCTATCGGTTCTCCGGTTCTCGGTTCTCTCAGTTTTTCCTATCGGTTCTCCGTTCTCTCTTCGTGGTATTTGCCAGTTCTCCGAACTACTCAAAATTTCCGCAACCGGTACGACAGAACCAGTCTGAACCGGATGAATACTACCTCTGATACATTGGGGAAAAATTGTTCTGGCAAAGCAGCGCGCCTCCATAATGAGGGTCATCGACAAAAATAATATTCAATCTGCGGGGTGATCTAAAAAGTTCAACGAAAACCGAAACCAGAGGGCGTAATCTTCAAACAGGGAAGGGTTTGGAAAGAGGTAAATCTGTTCTTAAGTTCAGAACACGGGCTGACCAATTACAGGATTTAAAGGATGCAAGAAAAGGAATCGAAGTGCACACCTGTTTTCCACTGCTAAAAGGACGACGTGGCAACGTGCACCTCCCAAATAATATAAAGGAAATTAAACTGGGGCTGCAATT